ATGTGTGGCCTCTGCCCTGGGCTGAGGACCCAGCGTCTCTGGCAGCCGGATGGCTTCTGAGGCACGTAAGGAGGAGACTTTCTCCTGGAACAGTCACTGCATCTCCTCTTCAGTCTCCTCAGAGCTGCTGCATCGGAAGAAATTGACAGGGATCCACCTTCCTGGAGGGGTGCCCTGCACCGGCGTCCAGCAGCAGCCCAGAGACAGAGCTGCTATGCACACGTGGTTGGGGCAGGTACCAACTACTAAGTAGAACCTCTTACGTTATTTTTATAAATTTATAAATTTATACAGTCAGATCATGTTAAAGCAGGAAGGGGCCCAGAGATTTGGCCTCTGCCTCTTATAAATCGTGACAAGCCTGAGACACACATGTACAAGACAGGTGCCCCAGGAACCAGCAGGTGCCCAGCTTCTACCCAACCCAGGGCTTCCTCCCTCTGTCATGCTGCCCATCTCTGAATTCTTGTTGTTTGTTTTTAATTGACGTATAACTGACCTATAATGTTATGTTAGTTTCCGGTGTACAGCGTAGTGTTTTGATACTTTTATACATTACAAATGTACAAAATGATCACTCTGATGGGTCTAGTTACTCACTGGTCACCACCCACGGTTATTACAGTGTTAGTGACTATGTTCCCTCTGCTGTACATTACATTCCAGTGACCGACTGACTTCATAACTGGAAGGTTGTACTTCTTAATCCCCTTCAGCTGCCCGTCCCACGCCCATCCTTCTCTCCAACAACCACCAGTTTGGTCTCTGTGTTGATGAGTCTGTTACTGTTTTGTTTTTTAGATTCCACATAGACGTGAAATCGCGCAATAACTGTCTTTGTCTGAGTTACTTCACTTAGTCCAATACCTTCTAGGTCCATCCATGTTGTTGCAGATGGCAGGATTTCATTCTTTTTCTTGAGAGCCCAGAGAGCACCGAGCTTCAACCTCCTCCAGAGGCAAAATACTATAAAATAAAGTCTCTTTGAAGAGCAGTCGTTCAGTAAAGAGGGTCATTAAAAACTGTAGGCTGGAAATAAAAGGGATAAAGTGGAGGTTATCTGGGAAAATATGCTACTTCCTGCTTCATTAGGAATTTCCTGAAAGCACGGGCTTGTGGCCAGGGCCTGGGAGAGCTCAAACTTCTCCCGGACAGTCGCGTGCACTTGCACTCAGGCGCTGCCCGAAGTAGGTTTTCCCTTAAGGTTGCGGATGTGCAGTCTGCGTGCTGCACACGTTTTCTCGGGGACCTCGTTTCGTCCTTCCAGCAGCCTTGTGAGGAAGCATTGTGTCATCCCTGGTGTTCGGATGAGGAAACAGAGTGATTTGACCTTGACCCCACAACTACAAAATGACAGCTGGGATCTTGAACTGGGGACCCGGATGCCACATGGTCTTTTCCCTTCAGTAAGTGCGCGCTTTCCTTGTCCTGTCAGGTTAAACAAGGCCCCTGGACGTCCGGGGTGAATTCTTACCGTGCAGCTAGTAGCAGTGGTCCTCATGGCCTGAGTGTGGTGCTGGTACGTTCTTTTCCTGCAGTTGCTGGTCCCTGGGAAGTCGACAGCTGTTCTTGAGCCTTCGAGGTCATGCTAGTGTTGAGAATCCTGTGGCACAGTTTCGAGAGTGCTAGGAAGGAGGCTGGCTAAGTAGGGCAGCCACGCAGTGTGCCACTTGCCCTCCTCGGAAGCTCCAAAATGAAGCCACGGTCTCTTCTCTCTGAGCTGCTGCTGCCTAGCTGGACCCTCAGCCACTTCGGGGCCCTTGCCCCCCCCCCCCCCCCCCCGACTACCTGGTGTTGGAGCAGGGCATGTGTGGAGGTCATTTCCAGACTGTGTATTTGCTGTCAGAGCCACGAGTGTCGGCTCCTGCCCCGGCTGGTGGTGGCCTAAGGCGCTGTTTGGTGGTCTGCTCCTGCAGTGGGTGTCTCAGAGCAAGGTGCTGGAAGCAGAGCAGTCAACAAAGGCAGCCCAGGGAGGGGAGTCCTGCAGAGGAGGCGCGGGATGATGCCAGTGGACGATGCCCCTGTCTCGTGGGCTAGTAGGGGAGAAGGCGGGAAAGTGTGTGTGGTGCCCAGGGAGGGGAGTCCTGCAGAGGAGGTGCGGGTGAGCTGAAGCCTGGAGGGTGCGCCCGCCCTGCACACGCAGCTGCCCTGACACCCTGAGCGGGAGAGCAGAGAGTGCAGGTGCTGAGGGGGCCCTGGCAAAGAATCCAGTGCGAACTGGGAGACAAGACCCGCCAGGGATAAACGTGGAGGGTCGGAGTCTGCGAAGCGCCCTGAGCTGCAGAAGCACGGGAGGCCAGGTCCCAAGGGGAAGCAAGGATTCCAGAGCATTCCTTTTGGGCTCCCTTCCTCGAAAAGACGCATCTTCCTTGGGTTTGTTACCTTGACTACTTGTGGCTCACTTTGGACAGGAGCGAGCTTCTGGAAGTACTTTGTTTCTCACATGGGGTGGGCTCAGGAGGGAGGTGGGGAGTGAGATGGAGTTTGTGGGCCCAAGGAGCCGGGCTCAGGTGTGTTTCAGAAGCCGCTTCCGGAGACGTTGACAAGTCATGGAAGCATCCAGCAGGTGTCTGAATCAGGAGGTGACTTAAGTCCCGTGCCATGGAATGTCAGTAAGGTAGGACTGTGAGGCCCAGGTGAGCCTCTTAGGCTTTTGCTGGAAGACCACATTTGTGTTGATTGAGGTGAAATATTTGATTGAAAGATTAGGAGGATTGAAAGTGTGAGCTGGGCTTCCCTACTTCTAGTCGAGTCCAGAAGAGTCTTTCTACCCCAACGCAGCTGGGGGATACTTTCAGCAAGAGCTCAATATGAACGGTATTCCTTTGCTCTCCTTACAACTCCGTGAGTATTATACCCATTCTGCAGATGGGGGTACCCAAGGCTTAGAGAAAATAAGCGACTCGTCCAAGGCTGCAACGGGAGGAGTTGGATTGGCTCTTTGAAAGCCCACTTTTGGCTCACAGCATCCTTCCACAGGTCGGTGCCTACCATCCCTGCAGAGTAGGCCATTCTCCGAGGGGCTGCTTCCAAGCAACGTCCTGCCCTGGGCCCCCTTCCTACCCCACACCTGGGCCAAAGGATCCAGGCTTTATCATTGTAAGAGGGGAGAGCGCAGATCTGGGACTTGGAAGTGTTTTTAATCTCCGGTCTTCAAAGAGAAGTCATGAGAACGACAGAATAAAAACGTTCGTGTACTCTGGAGACCAGGCCTCCTTTCTGCACATTTTTTCCTCTGCCCTGTAATTTCCCACAGAGCTTTTTTTTTTTGTCCATACTCCAGGGGTATGTTTATAAAGCGCACACATGGCAGGTGAGGCCCTGGGCAGGATACAAAGATGAGTGGGCAGTGACCCTGACCTCAGGGCCCTCTTAGATAGGTGGAAATAATAATTCGGATTTAGACTAAATGCTGTGGAAACAGAGACCTGGATTCATTAGCACCTGGGACTGGGTGGGGGGGAGTTTTCCAGCAGAGAGAGTGTTTAAACAGGCATGGGAACCAGTGTGGGGCATGGGTGGTAGGTGATGGGAGGTGGCAAAACCACACGGTGTGTTTTTGGAGCACCTGGGGGCCAGGCAGGTATGGTCGGGTGGTGGGCCCAGGCTTGGCGTGTAGAGAGATTGGGAATTCGGGGCGGGTCCAAGTCACTGTGCGGGTGAGGAGACATTCCATGGCTAAGGGTCTCTTGAACCGAAAGGATCATTTTGAAGACCCAAGAATGAGTACTGTGCACATTAGTTCATTGTAAAATGTGCATCTGAACTGACCAGCTCTCTACCCTGCCCGCATATTTGTCAGAAAGAAATGATACACATTCACTATGGAGAAGTACAAGGGGGGTTGAGGTGAGGTTTTCAGATGCCCACCAGCCGGTAGACAGTGTGCTGGCCCAGTGACCCCCTGCTGAACTGGGTGCGCTCCGAAATGCTGTGTGTGGGAGCACCTTGAAAGTAGAAATCCTGCTCCCCTTTTGTGGTCTGGGCTGTTGCCACTTTCCGTTGGGAGGGCTCAGGGAGAGAGAGAGATGGTTGCACCTGAGATTATCTGGAATGCCATCTGCTAGTAGTACCTGCCCTGTCTTCTGTCCCTGGGAACAGGCCAGGATCGTGTCGGTGGTGGGAAGTTTCCAGGGCAATTTGTGGGATCCCTGGTCACCTAGAAGGAAATGTAGTGTTATGAGCATAGAACTTTGGGTAAGAGACCTACCCGGTGGCCCTGCGTTTCCACCCTCCAGCCACAGGATCTTGCACGCTTTTTTTTTCCTTTAGCCTCAGGCTTCAGTCCTCGAAGGGAAAATGTGGCCAGTGAACCAGCTGGTCTTAAAGAGCCTTCCAAGTCTACAAGGCCCCGGTTCAGGTCCCTCTGCCTGGTTTGCTGAAGGGTTATTCCATCAGTGATTTGGGAACCTAGCAGGGATGTGCTAGGAAGGGTTAAAATACTTTCTCAGAGGCTTATTCTTTGCACACTTCTTTTCATCTTCTGATAAGCCTCTCTGTTGTTTCCATGGCCTGCCAGTGGGTTCCGTGGGGCTGTTACCCTAATCAGAACAGGTGCTATACCTGATCACGAGAAAACAGCAAAGCGAGCCCCGGAGGCCAGCGCAAGCATTTGCTGGGCTCGAACTGCCAACATACTTTTTATTCTTAGAACACATCTTTAAGGCAACGTGGACTTAAAACCAAGCACAGGCCCAGGGCACTCTATTATTCCACAGGAGGAAGACGCAGTGTGGTGGCCAAGAAGTCCCTGGGTGGTGGCAAAGTCTTGTTTTTGGAGGGGCGCACCACGATCCCCAAAATCAACCCCTAAGTATAGTGACAAAGCAGTACCGAAATAACCCAGATCCCCCAAGCCCAGCGGGGCAATTAGCAAAAGATGCCTGAAACCAGACTGAGTCTCCACAGTGCTGGAGACCTTTGGGTTATTGCAAGTGACGTCTGGTGCTGCTGAATTGGCGTCTGTGTGTTGCATCTGCACCTTTTTCCCCCAGAACAAGCTAAGCTGTACCTCCTCTGGGGAGACGATTTGCCTGAGATGACTCCGTTGTGAGTGGAAAAGACAAGGACGCATTGTTCAGTGGACGATGCCAGAAGGAATATGCAAAATGGGCTCAACCTCTTCATTCCGAGTAAGTGGGAGACCATTGTTTCCATAAAGCTCCTATTGAGCTAAATGACTGGAATGTAACATTCTTTGTCCAAATGAATCCCAAAATTTAAGTACCTCTTTCTGGAGGACTAGATACTGCTTTTTTTTTTTTTTTTTTTTTTAGGATTTTATTTATTTATTAGAGAGAGCATAGGAGCAGGGGGAGGGGCAGAGGGAGAGGAAGAAGCATGCTCCCCGCTGAGCAGGGAGCCTTATGTGGGCTCCATCCCAGGACCCCGAGATTGTGACACAAGCTGAAGGCAGATGCTTAACTGACTGAGCCCCAGGTGCCCCTGTTTTCTGTTTTGTTTTGTTTTTAATATGTCAGACTAAATTCTCATTATTCAAAGATTCTGTATTTGCCTACTCGCAAAAATTTATTTGTAAGCCCCCCGAATCGGTACGGTATTTTCACAGTCATTCACGGGTGGGGAGGCGAACATTTGAGTCTCCTGTCAAGTCCTTTCCCAGCTGGGGTTGTCCAAGGTGACACTCTGCCTTGTTTCAGCTCTCCTACCTTGAACAAGTGTTTTTTTTTTACTATTTAGTGTCATGTTGTTTGCATCTGTGTGCTCTTTGTTGGAGATCTCCATGTTTAAAATGGCCCAAGCATAGTGCTGAAGGGCTGTCTGGTATTCTTAAGCACGAGAAGGCTGTGATGTGCCTTACGGTGAAAATAGGTGTGTTAGATTAGCTTTGTTGAGGCACGAGTTACAGTATTGTTGGCCTTGTTCAGTGTTAATGAATCAGTATAGATTAAATAAGGTGTCTTTAAAAAGAAGCACACATAAAGCAAGACTGTGTGTTGATGGGTCGGCATAGAGGTGATCAGAGGCTCCCAGGAACCTAACTGACACCGTGTTTCTCCTAGGAGCAATGGGTTAGTCTTCTCTGAGTGTTCGCAGCCCCACCTTTATAGAACATACTCTCTCGAATAACAAGAATCAACTCTCACTTGACTCTGGGGTTCATGCTTTGTTTTTCTGCTGAGGACTCCTTTGGCATATTTCTATAATTCTCCAACTTTTATCTGCAAAAAAAGATGATTTTTATTCCCACCATCATTCCTAACTTTGCTTGTCTCGTTGTCTTCCGCCCGCCTGCCTCCCCTTCTCATCCACACATACTTTCATTTTCCACAGTCCTGTGCACTATATGTCTACACGAACCCTTCTCTTAGAAAGTACCTCAGCAGGGACACCTGGGTGGCGCAGTTGGTTAAGCGACTGCCTTCGACTCAGGTCATGATCCTGGAGTCCCGGGATCGAGTCCCGCATCGGGCTCCCTGCTCACCAGGGAGTCTGCTTCTCCCTCTGACCCTCCCCCCTCTCGTGTTCTCTCTCTCTCTCTCTCAAATAAATAAATAAAAATCTTTAAAAAAAAAAAAAAAAGAAAGTACCTCAGCAGAGGGGTTTTGGTGATGTGGCCAGAAAGAGCCAAGACTATAAGAGAAGAGCCTGGACACAGGGCTCCAATTAAATCCCAGCTTTAGGAGCGGGCAGATTCCTGTGGGGTTAAGCTAAGGCCATGGAAAGGGTTAGATAAGTAGTCTAACAATCCCCCACCGTCCCCCCCTCTGGCAGGGCTCCATGCTAGCTCAGTGATTTTCACAGCATTCTCCAACTCAAATACATTTTAATTACCTTTAAAACAAGGGCAAAAGTTTGGTCACAAGGCAAAATCGCAAGGAATTTTAAAGGCACTGATTTTATAGTTAATAGTTATAACCAGTGCTTTGGGAAAGCTTATTCTTCTTCCACATACCTCTTACCTGATCTAAATATAATATGGCATAAGATATTTAATGTGGTTCAGCCAAATATTAAGGAAATTAATCCCTCCTCCCTCCTAATCATAATGAAATGGTTTTGGGTTCAGTCTCTATTCTGGTTGAATGTGGTGCCCTAACAATGATTGTTCTCATCTGACAGCACTATTCGTACTTTGCTTTCTTTCTTAAAACTTGTACCTGGGTTGATAAACTAGAAACATTCTCCTTTTTAAAAAATCCAAACATACATAAAAGTACAGAAGGTACTAGAGCAGACTTGAGGTACTTATCACTGAGATTGATTCTTCCAAGAGGTGACCATCATTCTGAAGTCAGTGTGCATCATTTATCTCATTTATATATATGTTCTGCTACATATATAGAGAGTTATAATACTGCTTTGCGGACCTTAACGAACTAAATGGATTCATGGTATGGAAGCTTCAGCTCTTCAGCACCATTTTTTTTTCATTAAACACTATCATTTTGATAGTGTTTAATCTGTTGTGTAGGTCTAGTTCATGGATCCCCATTGGCCCACAGGATGCCACGTGTGACTCCATCACACTCTGGCCCCTGGCCTCTTAACGGGCAAGCCCAAGTGTGATGTGCAGTGTTGCAAGCAATGCCGTAGGGCACTTCCTGGCAGGTAACTCCCGGGGCATATGTGTATTTCACTAGACATTGAATTGCTGCCTCATTGGATATTCTCATTTTCGCTTTTACTAGTTATTGCCAGATTTCTCTCAAAGTCATCATACCAACTTACACACCCAACAGCAAGATTTGAGTGTTCCTGTTTCAAACACCTTCCGGGACATGGTATTATATTTAAAAAAAGGGAAAAAAAAAAAAGCAAACTTTGCCAGTCTAAGCGTCAAGAGCTACCTCTTTTTTAAACTTATATTTTCTCTATTATTAATAGGCACGAGCTTATCTTTTTTTTAAAAGATTTTATTTATTTGAGAGAGAGAACACAAGCGGGGAGGAAGGGTAGAGGGAGAGGGGGAAGCCGACTCCCCACTTAGCAGGAAGCCAAATGCTGGGCTCAATCCCAGGACCCTGGGATCCTGACCTGAGCCAAAGGCAGATGCCCAACCGACTGAGCCACCCAGGTGCCCCAGGCATGAGCTTATTTTTGTGGTAATGATCATTTGGGCTTTTTCTCCATTAATTGTCTTTATATATACTTCGCTAATTTCCTTCCTGGATTGTCATTTTTTCTAACCTGAGAAAACAGAAAGGCAATGCTTTCTATACAAGCGCAGTTCATGAGGGTCTAAGACTACCACCCTGGTCTCGACCTGCCACTGGCAGGAGTGAAGATGGGGACCCAGATTCTATGTGCTTCTGGAAACACCCCCTCTCATTTAGGCTTTCCCCCACACATGCACACCTGTGCACGTACACAGAGTCTGGCTCTGCTGTCTCCCTTAAGAACTTCGGGACTAATATGGTGATGCCCTTTATTCTTGTCTATGAGAGTCACCACGAGAAGGCCAAGATTTCCAGGTCATCCCTCACCCTTGGCAATCCAATCTCCATTTTGCTCAGTCTATTCCATCTTTTGACCCATCCCGTGAAACTGGGATCACCCTTGGAATGGCAGGATCATATAGTAGATCTATTTTTATTTTTTTGAGGAACCTCCATGTTGGTTTCCTTAGTGATTGGACCAGTTCCCATCAACAGTGTATAAAGATTCCCTTTTCACCATATCCTCACCAGCACCTATTGGTCTCTTGTCTTCTTGATGATATCCACTCTGAGAGGTGTGAGGTGATATCTCATTGTGGTTTTGATTTGTAGTTCTGTGCTGATAAGCGATGTTGAGCAACTTTTCAGGTACCAGTTGGCCATTTTGATGTCCTCTTTGGAAAAAAGTCTATTTAGTTATTCTGCCCATTTTTTAATCAAATTGTTTTGTTGAGTTGACTGAGTTCTTTATAGATACTGGATATTAACCTCTTATCTGATATATGGGTTTACAAAAATTTTGTCCCATTCCATAGGTTGTCTTTTTTAATTGTTTCTTTTACTATGCAGAAGCTTTTGAGTTTGATGTTCCATTTGTTGATTTTTTTCTTTTGTTGTTTGTGCTTTTGGCATCATGACCCCAAAATTGATTGCCACGACCGAGATTGATGTTAATTCCCTATATTTTTTTCAAGGAGTTTTATGGTATCAGGTCTTACGTTTAAGGCTTTGATGCATTTCAAGTTAATTTTTGTGAACGCTGTGAAGTAGGGGTGCATTTTCATTGTTCTGCATGTGTTCCGCCAGGAGAGGAACACGTTTCTGCTGACTGGTCTCTTCAAGAGACCACACGCGGGCCTTTGGTGCTTGTTGGCACAGCAAGGCTTCTCCAGTCCATTGACTCCCATCTTTCCCAGGTAAATATTTCCTTCCTTCCCTTTTCCTCAGTCTTCTAGTACATCTTTGCCCCCATTTCACGCTCAGCTGATGGATGATCTTGCTCCCTATTTTACTGAAAAAATTAAGGCAATCAGAAAAAAGTTCCACAAATGCTCAAACCATACTTACTGTCCCTCCTTTGTGTAACTGCATCCCACCTTCCCTCCTAGATGCACTGCCCATGATGCTAGAGGGGTCAGGTCTACCCTGGGCCTGGGCCCCTGTCCCCTTACACCTGCTGGGGGCACCACTCCAGCAATCCACCCCTTTCGTCTGGCCTCACCAGATTGCCCTGTCTTCTGGTCATTCCCATCAGCAAAAAACAGGCTGTGAGTTCTTTCGGAGAAAAACTTTTTAAGAGTTATCTGTAGTCATCACTTCCTCTCTTCTGAGTCTCTTTAATGAACATAGTGGTGAAAGAAATGAAAGAACTTCTTGTATTGAGGTGCATTCCCCACACACCTCCTTGGGCTCACTCATATCAGGCTCACATCACTCGGGTCAAGGTCTCCAAGCCCACTGCCCACTTGGCTCTCATTTCACTTTCCTGCTAGCCCAGCCACAGTTGCTGGAAATAGCATTTTCACTCAATTTCTAGGCATCATGGCTCTGCTCTTCCTGCCAGTGTCTTCCATGGGCTCCCGGGCTGGTTCCTTCTCATTTCCCTGACTCTTAGTGTTGGGGTGCTCCAGGCTCCACCTCCTCTGTGTCTACTCTCTCATCCACTGTTCTGGTTTTGCATATATATATACCCCTAGTTTGTGTCTCCAGCATGGATTTCTGTCCTGGGTGCCACGCTAGTATCTCCAATGGCCTACACCCCATCTTCCCTGAAAGCCTGACAGGCACCTCAGGCTTCACACATCAACACTGAGCTCCTGCTTCCCTCCCCACCCCCCCAAGCCCAATCTTCTGAGTCTTTCTCACCTTTTGCTGGCTCAACCCCCAAACCCTAGAATCATCCTGGACTCCACTTCCCTTCACATCCCTGTCTTGTCCCCTCAGCAGATCCTGTTTTCTCACCTTCAGAACGTACCTGAAATCTACCTGATTCTCATCTCCTGCACTGTTACCACTGGGGCTCAAACCACATCATCTCCTAGAGCACAACAAGAACCCCCTGGGTTAGTTTCCTGGGGGCTATCATCATAAAGAACGTCGAACTAGGGGACTTAAAACAACAAATTTACTCTCTCCCAGTTTTGGAGGCCAGAAGTATGAAATCAAGGTGTCCACGGGGCTGCATTCCTTCTCAAGGCTCTCGAGCAGGATCCTTCCTTGTTTCTTCGAGCTTCAAGTGGCTTCTGACATTTCCTATGCTTGTGGCCACCTCATTCCGGTCTCTGCATCTGTCTTCATGTGGCTTCTCCCTGTGTCTCTCTGTGTCTCCTCACCTCTTCTTGGGCTATCAGATTTTGATCTAGAGCCCACCACAAGTCCAGGATGATTTCAACTCAAGATCCTTAACTGATTACATCTGCAAAGACTCTATTTCCAAAGAAGGTCACATTCTGAGGTTCTAGGGAGGATGTGCATTTGGGGGGACACTATTCCACCCCCATCTCCTCACAGGGCTCCCTGATTTGCTTCTGGCACCCCCTGGTCTGACTTCAACCCAGCAGCCTGAGCACATCAATTCTCTATGGAAACCCTGTGAAGGCTTCTGTTTCACCCAGCGTAAAGGTCAAAGTCCTAATAGCCTATGAAGCCTTACTCAATCTGGTCCCCTCATCACCCCCATCTTCTCTCCCATGCCAGCCCCTCCCCAACTCTGGCTCCTACCCTTTTGGTTCTGGCAGTGCCCTCTACCTGAACACTTCCTTGAATCTTCATGTTTGCCAGACACACATAGAACATTTATTATCTACCTTTGCCACTTGCTTCCCTTGCTGGATTGTTCACCACTGCAGTTATTTTGCCTAGAACATTGCAGCTGGATGAACGAAGAGGAATCTTCCAAGCTGAAATGGTGTATCTCAAATTAAAGTGTCCTGGGCTGTGAACACTCTCGTTACAAGAGAGCCAGTTCCAACAGCCCTTCCATGCATTCTAGGTAGAGAATGGATGGGCCAAAAACTGGATAAAGATGAGTAAGGAAAAGGACAGCAATATACCTGTAGACGTAAAACATGAATTACCAAGGCCGAGTTGGCTGTAAGTAGCAAAAGCCATAGAAAAATGCACGCATGCCCTGTGACCCAAGTTCTGTTTCTGGGCCTTCACCTTGAGTCATGATGGCACACAGAGTTAAGGTACCAGGATGTTCACCAGATTATTCTTTAATAAAACCAAAAAGTTGAAAACCACCTAAATGTTCCATAGTAGGAGATCGTTGAAATAAATTGTGTATGGATTTACCATGCCACCAGTAAAAATCCCTATATAATAGCATGAGAAAATAATTAGAACATATCGATGGGAGTAAAATGAAATTTAAACAATGCCTGATGGTATTTTAGTTACATAAACTTAATATGAAAATAAAACAATGTGCATCAAAAAAAGAGAACTGGCTTTACAAAAGAGTAAAAAAAACCAGACAGGTCCGATTAGTAGTATCAGTGGGAGTTCATAGAATATACTAGAAAATCAGCGATTGGATGTTGGCATAATCTTGAACACAGAAATATCATTAGATTGGCACCAGTTTGGAAGAAAACCACCTAACCCGAGGGTCATCACAAGGGACTGGGTTAGACACTAAGCAAACTCACTTGGGACGACAACCCCTGCTTTAGCTGCAGTGATGTGCCTGTGCTCACGTTAGGGCCCTTATGGAGGCAGCCTGGTAAGCCCACTCTGGGGCCCCAGAGCACCCTGGAGAAGGTCCCTGGTGGAAACTTGGGTAGACTCAGAAGACGGAACAAAGGAGAGATTTTGGTTTGAATGAATATCTCTGCTTTGCCTTCCTTCTGAGCTCCTCCCAAGGGCTTTCCAGCGCGTTCACCTACTGCTTTCTCTCTGGTTAAATGCATCAGTGTTGGTGGTTCATTTTATTTTGCCCCCTAAACTGATCTGAGCTGCTGCTAGGACTGCTTCCAAGACCAGGACCTGCTTTTGCATTGAATCAAGTTGTAGCAATGGTGACGGTCTAATGCCGTCACCCAGCAGGCTGAGGGGGAGGTGGCCCTGAGCAGGAGGCCGTGTGGGACCTGGGCCTCGAGCTGAAGAGCAGTGCGATTCAGTCTGGTTGCTTCTTAAAAATACATACATCAGAAGAAAAAAAAAAATACATACATCAGGAAAAAGCCCTGAAATGCAAAGCACAAACCTATGAGCAGACATTGTCTCTGAGGAGTGTGATGATGAAGCTTTTATTTTCTTCTTTTTGCTAACTGTAATGGCTATTTAAAAAAAAAACAAAAAACAAAAAACAATGACCATGTGCTGAAGAACGTGGCAGAAATATTTCCAAGAACAATGGCGAGAGACTGAGCAGCACCTGAAACTAATGTAACACTGTATGTTAATGGTACTTGAATTAAAAAAAAAAAAAAAAGCCTGAAAGCTGAAGCATTATAGGGGAAAAAAGAAGGAAAGAGGGAGAGAGTGAGGGAGAGAGTAAGGGAGGAAGGGAAGAGGGAAAGAAGGAAAGAGAAAGAAGAAAAGGAGTGAGAGGGAGGGAGGGAGGGAGGGCGGGGGAAGGAAAACAACAGGAGAAACAACCTAATGGGTAATCCCAGCAAACGTGTGAGTGAGGCCAGGCTTTTGTTTAGAGAAAGCGCATATGGTGTGGAAGACAGCAGACCTGGTTTGTGAAATCATCCCCGGGGGCTTTGTCGTGCTCTTCCTGGTCTTAGGAGAGACCCAAGAGGGCTCAGTGAAGCACAACTAATAATAAAATTAAGAAGATGATAGCAATTTGGATTATTTGGCCTAAAAGAAATTAGGGTTTAAAAACTGTCTTAAGTAAAGAGGTTCTAGATGAAAACACCGATCAATTGCGAACCATTTTCACAGAGGATAGAAGAAGAAGAAATGGCCTTAAATTGATTAAGAGAGCTTGAAGAAGAGATCCTTGCCAGGGAGGCTGGTGATAGCTTGGCATGGGCTGATAGTGGGCTAGCTCAGTGCTGGGAGGACTGAATATAAGAAACACCATCTGTCCTAGAAGATCCAGGGAGACTTTCCAGAAGGTTCCTTGAAGTTCCAATCCTGTGATGTCTCGATGAAGGTATAAACTCACCTAATCTGTTCCTGAATGAGCTATCCTGGAACTCGAAGTGTCTGTATTCTTGGCCAGGACTGGTCTTGGGAGAGCTGGTAGCCATCTGTGTGATGGGAGGGCTGGCTGCCAAAATACCATTCCTACCGCTGAGTCATGCTGTCTGAAATCCTACCAGGTGACAATCATCTTTGGTCATCAAGAGCCCAATGGAGTGTGAGTGATGCCCTTATGGTTTTCTTTTTTTCTTTCTTTTCTTAAGTTCCGGAGGGAATAAGTGTGGAGGTTTTGAGATAACCAGCTTAGAATTTTCTCTCTTTAGGGATTGTTAAGAAAAATTATCCAAAACTTAGAAATAAGGCAAAGGGGCATGTCCTCTCAATGTCATACTGAGGCACTGTTTGACATGCTCGCCCAAGGATTATTTAATTCTTGAAGAGAATATACTTGTGTTTGATTAAGCGCAAACACAGTAGAGTTACATGTTAACTTGTTGATTTCTGTCCCTTAGAAAAAATAACCACAAAGGTTATGGTTTTATTCCCATGTAGGCGTTAACCAGTTTTGTACCTAATTGAGCAGTGATTCTAACATACTGTTTTGGGTTTAAAGGTCGTCGATTCTGCAAATGCTCTTGGACCATCTTTCCTATCGTACTGGTTTGCTCATTAATAAGTTAAATACATTTTGGACACATGTATATATTTGTATGAGAGTCATGAGTTTAACTTCTTGAAAACTGTGCTTTGACAGGAAGGAGATGAGGTAACAGTAGCACAGTAGCTTTAAAGAGCACGACATTGATTCTCATCTGGATAGAGGTTTGTATGGTCATTCTTTGAAAGAGAGGGATTCATTAATTCTCAGGTAATCCATGATTAGCCAGCCCTTGGTGAGCACGAGGTAATTGGATTTTTTCTAACCTTAACAGAGGTGTTGGGCTTTTTTTGGTTTTGATTTTTGATTTTTTGATTTTTTTGTTTATTGTTTTTGTTTGGTTTTTGTTTTTGCTTTTGTTTTTGCAGAGAGCTATGGGTGAAGCCAGCACCGCCAGAGTGAAAAGGGATTCTGAGTGATAGAATGCTTAGGATTCTGATGGGTGCACCTGTCACATTGGAGAGCAAGATTTCAGAGGCAGAGGGATTCAGGGGAAGTCCAGGCCCTGGCACCGTCATGGGAGAAGGTGACTGAACCTCACTGGAATACAGGAGTTAAGGCAGAGAGTGGCTGGGAGACAAAGGAGGCACCTGTGGGAATGTGGAACCCCTCCCTCATGGTGACAGACTCTGGTGGTGGCAGCAGTGCCACCTGCCCAGTGATGCCTGGTGACCCAAGGAGCCAGTGGTTTAGACCATCCTGGAGATAAGAGGCGCAAATGGAGAAGTAGGCCATGAGAGACCCAATCATCATGAAAATTATTTGGGTGACACATGGGCAGAGTGTCTACCTGCGGTTGCTGCCTTTCCTGTCCCAAGACGCAGAGACACAGGTAAACCTCAGATGCCAACCTCTCTGGTGTTGACAGCGCATTCCAGGTCTTTCTCGGAAAACAGCCCCTTCTGTCTCAAAAGGGTCCACAGATGGGGCAAGCTGAGGACATCTTCCCAAGCCATAGAAAGCAACACCCAGCCCCGGGAGCCGTTGGACCTGCAGGGCTGTATTTCACTCTTGGACGGCAGTCAGCAGATTCTTAAACTCACTCCCTAGCTCCTACCCTGGGGCTGCTATTCTGCTCCTATTCAAGGCTCAAATGCCACCTCATGCTGCTGGTCCCAACTGGGGACTCTGAGCCCCTCAGAGGCATCTCCCAAATAAAACCCAACACCACACTTCCGCACACTCATTGTGTGGAGTGGTCTCACTCCACTGGGCTCTATCGAAGCTGCAAATTCCAGATTTCTCTCTCTTGTGTTTTTGAACCTGTTTGCTTTTGATTATGGTTTGGTTTTGAAAGGGAAGAGTCACACACGATCCAGCTCCCTGTTTCCTTTCTCAGATGGAGTAATAAAGCTTATTTATAGTGGAACTGTTTTTTTTTCCATTATGGCATATTTAATTTTATTACTCTACTGCCTTGTGCTTTGAATTACATAGGGGAAGCAACGCATAACAGAATATTCCGTTGGTTTTCTTTTTTTCCCCTGGGGTAGTTGATTGTGGAAAAAAAGGATGTAGCATCCTATTAGTCATTCTGTACCATGATGATTTTTTTGCCTGTGACCAACAAAATTACATTTTACACTCGAATGAACTCTCCAAATGGACCCTTCTCTTCAACATATGTGGACATAAGATTCAAAGTATGGCCAACCCCATGCATCACATCCAAAGTCCATTTCAGCTGTGGTTGATGGTTCTCTCCAGGAATGCAATATGCTGCAAAGCACCATGGTTTGGGCTTCTGATGAGAAGTTTGAGCATGCTATTTATTTTGTTCTTCTGTCTTTCTATTCAAACCATTTGAAAAGATCACTGAACTCTAGGTAATTTGGGACAGCCTTTGGTTAGTCACCTTGGCTCCTTAGCTTATTTCTCCATCACTCTGGTGGTCTTTGCTTTCTTAGGCTTGGAAAAAGGACAAGGAAAATCTCTCTCTTTGGAACCAAGGAGGTTCCTTAATTGCTCAAATGGGCTTGCAACAGATATGGTTGTATTTCACGTGAAGCTTTTTCACGTGTTCTAAAGTCTTAGGTTTGAATCCATGTTTCTTACCATTTTTGACCATGTTTTCTGACTATGTTTTCTATCATGTCGGACCAACTAGGTACTTCAGTGAGATGCTTCTACCTTTCGTTCGTTTCTAGGAGAGAACATGGAATCAGAGGGGAAGGTGTTTGCCATACTCGAAATCCCCACAAATTAGGAGAAAGACTGATCGAACCCTGTTGTTCTGTCTCAACTTCTACAAATGAAAGGAAAGTGGATTTTTAGCAACTTGTGATGCTCTCCAATAAAGAGTTGGCAATGCTGAATATCCCAGTTTTCTGTGCTCAGTGGTCCCTCAGTTGCTTTGGAAAGCATCCTACTAATATGGAGAAATCAGAACCTTGGTATACTGCTGATAGGAATGTAAAACGGTGCATCTGTTTTGGAAAACAGTCTGTTAGTTCCTCAAAAAGTTAGACATAGAGTTACCATGTGACCCAGCAATCCTACCCCTATATAGGTATATAAATCCAAGAAAACTGAAAAACGTTTGTCCACACAAAACTTATACATGAAAGGTCCATAGTAACATTATTCATAATAGTCAAAATGTAGAAACAACCAAAACGTCTATCAACCAATGACTGGATAAATAACATGATTATATCCATACAGTGGAATATTATTTGGTGGTATAGAGGAATTCTAGCAAGATATTTAAACCAAAAATAAAAATAAATCATTAGGGCAATTTTTACTTCGAATCAAGGAAGGATTTATAGCTAAACATAATAATAATAATAATAATGCTTATTTGTTTATTATAGTTACTAATCTGCATATCTCATTTGATTCTCATGATAACCTCCAAAAATAGTTTTTATCATTCCCATTTTCAGACAAGGAAACTGAGGCTCAAAGAAATGTGATACTTTCTGAAGTCTCCCAGTCGTTCTGTGTGCCAAGCCTGGCCTTCTTACAGGTTCTGAAATGTGTGATGCCCTTGACCTCAGGCTGGCAGAGTAAGTTGGGGTTAGGGGTGGAAAGAACCCACTGCAGTGTGGTTTTCATGTGTTCCAACACATATTTCTTCAGGTGAAGAAGCAGACTGCGTAGACACATGCAGTTCTCCATAGTTCTTCATAGTACACTTCTAGTCGGCAATCGGAGAAAAGATTCAATAGTTTTGCACCTGCACCCCAGTAATAAATGGGGGGACAACCCTGAATTCATGGATAAGAGGAAACTTTGTAATACATTAGTTCAGTCATTCCAGTTACGCATGGGTAATTCTTCTCCCATCCGTGGCTTGGTCTGGGTCAGAAGCTAGCTTCTTGGGTCCACGGATGGAGTTCTTCTAGTCCGGTTTCAGGAGCCCAGTGGCTCCTGGTAGGGCCTGGGTTCATGCCAGTGGCTCCTTCCAGCCACCAGCCTCCCCCGGCACAGCAGCCTGAGTTCCTCTGCCTGTACGGACCCCAGTCCTGGCCCCGATGTCTCTGGCCTGTTTGAAGGGTTTGTTCCTGTTGGACTCTGCCCGGCTTTGTACCGTTCCTGACACTTTAGCAGTAGCTTGAGTGTTTTGTGTCACCTCTTTTTCTTCGGGCCTGTTTGCTTTTGAGCTCAGCTGTGTAACAAAATTCTGTTGTTGTATTTTATTCAGTATTTCCGTTCGTTCGGAGCAGGACATCTTTCCTCATCAGCTCAGTCTTCCACGTTGACCAGAATGTCTACATTTTTACTGTTTCTTTTGTGGCCTAATTGTTATGGACTGAATGTTTGCATCCCCCCAGATGCAGATGTTGAAGCCTCATCCCCAAGGTGGGGGTGTGAGGAGGCAGGGCTTTGGTGGGGGGGTCAGGGTGGAGCCCTCTCCTAATCTCCTTCACCCTATTGAAAGCTATATACACAATGGAATATGACTCAGCCATCGGGAAGGATGAACACCCAACTTTCGCATCCACATGGATGGGACTGGCGGAGATGATGCCAAGTGAAAGAAGTCAAGCAGAGAAAGTCAATTATCATATGGTTTCACTTATTTGTGGCACATAAGGAATAGTATGGAGGACATTAGGAGAAGGAAGGGAAAAATGAAGGGAGGGAATCGGAGGGAGAGAGGAACCATGAGAGACTATGAACTCCGAGAAACAAACTGAGGGTGTTAGAGGGGAGGGGAGTGGGGGGGGGGAATGGGTGACTACCTGGTGATGGGTATTAAGGAGGGCACGTACTGCACGGAGCACTGGGTGTTATACGAAAACAATGGATCGTGGATCACCACATCAAAAACTAATGATGTATTGTATGGTGACTAGCAGAACATAATAAAATTAAAAAAAAATAATAAAGCTATTGGTCTTAAATTCCAGTTTGTCTGATCTTCACATTGCCCCCACTCTCATTTTGTTTATTCTTGCCTGATATAGTTTCCCATCTCTTTCTTTCCAAGCTTTCTTTGTCATTTCATTTGGCTGTTTTTCATAAATAGCATGTAACAAATAGTTCTTTAAAATTCTATTTCAGCTTGTGTCATTCAGTGGAGGAATTTAATTGAGTCCTATTTATTGAGATGTCTGATGTCCTTGGTCTTCTTTTTTCTTAATGCATGATATTGGCCAGGCAGGGGGATCTTGGATCACAGCCTTACCTCTCAAAAGCCTTAAGCCTGGCTCTACTGCCTCAGTGTTCCAGGTGTTTCCAGTGAGGAATCTGGTGTCATTCGAATTCTCTTCCCTATGTAAATAATTTGTTTTCATTCTCAGGTAGCTGGCATTTGGGAATTTACCAGATTACATCCAGGTGTGATTCTTTTTTTGCTTTTCAAATTGTCGTTATTAATCTTGCTTGGTACTTGAGTTTACTTCTGGTCCAGAAATTGTTCTTTATTCAGGTAAGGAGTATTCTTCTTGTTTTTCAAGTTTGCCTCTCCATGTCATTTTTCTCGAACTCCTAATATTCAATAGCCAATATTCACCCAGTATGCAGTATTCTTGAATCTGCTCCCTACTCCCTACCTCTTCTGTTTCATTTGTGATTTTCATTTCATTGAGTTTTCAAGCTCTGAGATCAGTCAGGTCATTGGTCATTCAGATGAACTTGTGCACCATTATGAGAAAGTTCAGGATGGAAGGATGACTGTTAGCATGCTGCACTTTTTATGCTAGTTTGCTTGGGAATGGTTTACACCTGGAAAGCAGCAGGATCCCAAGCCTCTTGATGGGGAGACTACCTCAGTCGGGGGGGCAGTTTCAGACTCCCAGGCTGACCCCAGATGACATTTCAGCCTGCCAGATCCCAGGATGATTCCAGCTTCTAAAGGAAGTAGCAGTGCTGATGGTTTTTGAAGTTAAGTTTATTCTTTGGCCCAGTTGGGTATTTCCTGGAATCACTTCTTTTTTCCCTTTGTACCCTGTTTATGGGCCCACCCACTTGCTCTCATCACCCTGACGTGGGTCCTGGGTATTGTTATCATTTGTCCCTGGGTCAGCTTCCTCATGAGCCTGTGAGTTCCATTTACCTTCCCCCCTCAGTCAGCTCAGGCTGCTGTAACAGAGGACTACAGGCTGGGGAGCTTAAACAACAGAAATTTATGTCTTAGTTCTAGAAGCTGGAAGTCCAAGATCAAGGTGTCATCAGGTTTGGTTTCTTTTGAGGCCTCTCCTTGGCTTGCAGGTAGCCATCTCTTTGCTGTGTCCCCACGTGGTCTTTCCTTTGTGTGTGTACATTCCTGGTGTCTCTTTGTATGTCCAAATTTTCTCTTCTAAGGACACCCATCAGATTGGATCAGGGCCCACCCTAATGACCTCATTTAAACTCAGTTAACTTTTTAAAGGTTATGTCTTCAAATATAGTCAAATTCTGAGGTACTGAAGATTAAAGGTTCAACAGGTGAATTTGGGGGACACAGTTTAGTCCATAACACACTAGCTTGGCGTAGGCTTTGCTGATAGATGTTCAACTAACCAAATAAAGGTTAGTTGAGAGCCTGAATGAAAGTCCCCCAATTTGTCCTTTAATCATTTTGACTTTCAAGCATGTTGTGTTGCATGGAATGGCACCATATGCTCTTTTAAGATAAATTAAGTGAACTATCTCCTTACTGTCTTTTTTTTATCTTTAGCTAGTAATATTTTGTGTAAGTAACTCTATAGTGGCGCGAATACATGGTCCTTCCTCCGCCCCCTCCACCCCCCTCGCCAAAATATCCTTCTATTGCATGGTAAAGAAACAAGTTCAGTGCCTTAGGGCAGATTCAATTCACAGTCTCTGCACTGTATTTCTCGCAACAGGCCTATGTGTGGTTTGTCTGTGGGGATTTGAATCTGTGTTATTGCATACTGGATTTACCTGCCTTGGGAATTCAGTTCTTTTTTCTTTCTTAGCACTTTCTCTGTCTCATCATATTTATTTCCATGCTCTGCCCCACGCTCTGACAAATTTGAATTTTTCAAAAAGCACAGAGATATGCATTATACTGATTATGTCAGTTATTTGTGTTCTTTCTAGTTTATAATAATGAAAAGCTGAAATTAAAATTTTTTCCCTTGGCTATTTTATTCTTTTGCAGTCTTCATTTTTGTATTTTGTTTTCAGTCTTCTCATTGAGTTTTTGATCTCTGAAATAGCAATTTAAAATAGCTATCCAATGGTATATGTATCCACAACAGAGTTTGTTGCCAAGCATACAAAATGAATGGGTTCCTTATTCAAATGTTAAATGCCTACATACAGAGTCTATGTATAGAACTGAGATTGAGATCTGGAATTGGATTCTACAATGGATATCATCAGGATGACAGCTTCCAGTGGACTTAGGATTTCATTGAATTTAATAGTCCATCAATGCTATCTAATAAACCAATGTGATTCTCTTCTGTGAATGGTCTCAAGAGCCAAGGGAAGTTCATGTCTTGGCCACTCTGAACTACTTGCTGTGACCCACACTTTCCACACTGGTTCTCTTCTGGCTCATGAGCATGACTTTCCATCTGCTAAGAACACTCTTCCTCTCTTGACCACTGGGAAGCTGTCCCTGATCCCAAACTAGCCTAGATGCTCTCTGAGGGCTTCCAAAGATCCTAGCTTCCAAAGATCCTGAGCATGTACATGCTGATTTGGAAGTGACTGTTATGTCTGTCCCTCCTTTTTGGCTAAAGGCCCTTTCTGTGCCATGGATGTCTTTGGAAGCTAATGAGGCCTATGAATCGTATCTTAGAATCATATTTTAAATGTATAAATTAAAACACATTGAGTTCTGCTTTGGGGCAAGATGGAATAAGCACATTCCACTCTGTCTCCAAGCAGATGCTGCTCTAGGAGTTGGTAGAA